CACCGCTGTCTGCTCTTTCTGACAACCCCTCCCCCCATCCTACCAACTACACTGCCCCCCACTCATTTAAAGTTAGTTAAGGCTTTGTTCTTCCTTCCTCTAAAGCCTACTTATTGGCCATTTAAATTGGCCATTATTTTGGGCCTCTTGCACATTGCAGCTTGAAAAAGCTCAGTACAGTGGGTTTTTTTTTTCTTTCTTTTTTACTGATCTAAAATGCAGCCCATTGTTTATGATGTGCCTGTACACACAGGTGCGTAAACATGTGGTGTGCATATGAGCACAAATATGCACGTATTATTATTATACAGGATTTATATAGCGCCAACAGTTTGCTCAGCACTTTCCAATATAACGGGAGACAATACAGCAACAATACAGTTCACTACAAGAGGGATAGGAGGGCCCTGCTCCTTGGAGCTTACAATCTAGGAGAATTGAGCACAAGCATATAAACATAACTAATAATGGATATTGCCTAGGATATTGCTCTTCATAGATTTGTAAGATAATACATTATTTCTAGATATTTCAGTACACGCTTTCTTAGCAGCTGGAAAGTGATTTACCTGATTGTAGGGTTTCAGCCTGTGTGATAATGACATAAACTGAATGAAACTAAAAAATATATATAATTTGCTAGTGACGCACTAGATTTCAACAAAAGTGCTTCATGCGGTATAAGTGCCATTATCAACTGTCCTGTCTGACATTGATTTCCTCTGAGCACACAATTGTATTAAATTAATTTTGAATCATGCTATCAATGTAGTTTGTTAGGGATATGACCATTTTGTTAGACCTTCATATTCCAATCATGTCTGATGGCCTATAAAGTATGAGCACTAAACCTCTATAGTTTTTTCTGTGCTTTTTTTGTTGGAACTATAATGAAGTGGTAGTAACAAGACGTTGATTTAGGCCCTTTTCACAGGGGTTGGCTCCAGCTGCGTTCCACTTGTTCAGCAGGGGATCTGTCTACTGATTTCTGCTAAGCAGGAGGATGACAGGTTCGTGTCAACTCTGCTAATGCAGACCGGACACGGACACAGCCTGCTCTGCTCTATGGGTAGTTGATGTAAACAGACATCTGATCCGCTGGAAGGAAGGGGAACAGATCCCCATCCATTCGTTTTTGGCAGATCGGATTGGGTGTAGGCAGGTGTAAGCGGACACATGTCTGTTTACACCCGCCGTTCCAGAGGAGAATAGAGATTCCATTCGGGGGACACCTGAAAAAACGACAGGCAGACCCAATCGGAATATCAGCGTGAAAGAAGTTTAATAAAACTGGAAAATCTGGTGCAGCTGTGCATAGAAACCAATCAGATTCCAGGTTTTATTCTCAAAGCTTAATTGAACTGAAGCTAGAAGCAGATTGGCTACCATTTTGCACTCTCCAGTTTTAGGAAATCAGCCCTATTAGGCATTGCATATGGAGGTGTCTGAAATTGCTGTCTTTGCTGTCCATGGATTCCAATCAGATTTTCCCTTCAATCCCAATGTGATGCAGTTGGATCTTGTCATGCTCTCAAGTCAATGAGGAGCTGAGATAGATTGCCATTCAGAATGTACAGTTTTGCAAACCTGTAGAAATGTCCTGTTTTTCTTTCTGAAAACTTTAAAAATGTGTTGTAATAATAGTGTTTCATTTAAAAAAAAATAATCATTAAGGACATAACAGTGTGTGTGTGTGTGTGTGTGTGTGTGTGTGTGTATATATATGTATATATATATATATGTATGTATATGTGTGTGTGTGTATGTATATATATATATGTGTGTGTGTATGTGTGTATATATATCTATTTATTTAAATCACAGCTGTATTTGAAAAAAATGTGGAAGCATTCACATATCTAGGTTGCCAAATAGGTGTTTTGGTAAGTAGAATTTGTTTTTTCTTTGGTCAGCTGCCATGATTTTCCCCTGGGGTTTTCAACCAGAGGTGTTGGAAAATACTATCATTACACAAGCAAAGGATGCATGGACATTTACAAGTCTTTTCAACTATTTTTGTTATTGATTTCAGCCTGACAATATCACTGTATTTTGTAGCATTTGTAAGCAAATACTTCAAAACATTTTGTGGTGTTTTTAGTCATTTCCACTTAAATTATAATAAGCATTTAATGCACATTTTTAAATTATGTGGCATTTTTCAAACAGTTCTGTAGAATACACTATTATGGAAAAATGCCTGACTGTGCTTCATGCAAAGGATTTCCAAATGCCACCAAGAAAGACATGCTAGGGTTAACAGTTCTGATGAAAAACATCACCATTTTTCTGATCCTTCACACAGCTCTCAAACTTATGGAGGTGCACATAGACAGTCCTTTAGAAACTGGAGGTTTGGGGTATATTTTTTAAACACGTCTGATCTAAATGTTTTTAATGGTATAATGGTATTCTCCCTAGGGCTATTGTCTCTTTATATACAGAGTGGCACTCAATACAAACCTTTGGATACATCATAAAAGCAGTAGTCATTTTTTGGTTCTGTTGTGTTATTGCAGAATAAATGTATAAATATATAACCTTTCCTGACAAGCTGACTGCTCAATTAGTGCTATCTGGGCTGTTATCCCACTGTGCCTAGATGTCCATGGTGACTCCCACACCCAGTACTGAAAGTGGACATATCTGCCTAGCAACTAGATGCCTTTCTCTAGAAAGAGAGCATGTGGGATGTGGTGTATACAAGCAATTTACTGAACAGTTTTATCTGAGATAAGTGTACTGAAATGGCTTTGTATCTAAAGGTCAAGTTGTATATTTTTAATGGCTTGTTTTTAGAGAATGTTCAACTACATCTTTTAATGGAAATACTTGGAAATTATTTTTTTTTCAGAGAGGCACAGCAATTAATAATTTCTGAACATTCAAATAAAAACAAATCCTAAAAAAAAAACCTGATAAACTTTGAGCCTCTTTTATACATTTAAGCTCCAACACAAAAATATATATATTTTTGTGAATTTGTTATTGATTTGGTATTGAATGTGTACAGATTCTAAAATTATTCAGAACTGATTTGCTTTTTGGTGGGCATGTCTATATTAATTCTACATATTATTTATAGATTTCTGTCTAGCTATTGCCTTCTTGAATAGTATGCTGTGTATTGTTTTAGCAAAAGGCTTTATATAGTTACAAGAAGTGAGGTAGCAAATAAAAAATACATGTTTTAATTTTTTTTTTTCAAATTCTTTTTCTATTTTAAAATGAGCTGGTGGCCGGATTATGCACACTAAAGTATTCACACATTTTGAACAATCCATAAAAGCACTTTTAAAATAAGCTCTCAATCACTTAAGTAGCTCTAAGCATCGTGGAGAAATTAATATTCAAAATTCACAAGTAGAAAAAAAGGCCCCTTGCACATGGGCATCATAATTTAGTGATGTTTACTTAGGAGCTTTTAGATAGAAAGTCCCTGAGTAAAAAAAACTGTATGTAAGACCTTGAGTAATGTTGAGTAAAGGTATGTATAAGTACGAAAGCATATAGATGAGTAAAATTCTTCTTCGTTGCCAGTGCTGTAATTTACTCATTTATACTCAAACATTCTTATAGATACTTAAACACGTGTATGCGCAAAAATTACTGCAGTCACATGTAACATTTTCTATTGTTGTTTAATTGCTCTGTACGTATCGCTGTATTACTGATCTTTACTTAGCTGCATACATGGTTCCATAGACAACAATCTAATTTCAAATCAGTGAAAAACGCAGCACTACTCCCATGTGCTAGAGGCCTAAGATTTGTTACTAGGAAACTGAAACATGAATTCCATATTAGTAAAGACTTAGTAGCATTTGTTATGATCCTTGAGGATATTTGAGAATGAATTACTTCAAAGTACATACAGCTAGTGAAGCCAGGGATTACTTATTTTAAAGCTCCTTCACTATTTTTTAATAATACTAATACTGGAATTTCTATAGACTGAGCATTTTAAAATATGGAACCCAGTAAGTCCTTGGTAACGCCACACAGTTTATGGGTGCTTGGTGTTTAAAAGTGTACTGAACTGAACAACTTAGATTTCACATTTTAGCTGAGGACGTAGCATATTGTAGAGTAGTGACCATCCGGCTGTAAACAACTTTCAGGTAAATCTGCCTTTGTTTTGTATGGGTTCTTCCACCCAACCCATGGTTCCACTGCTTGCACAACACACTTTTCACATGACTGCAGATAGAACAAGAAATTATAGACCATCTTCATGTATATAGCGGTTTCTCAAGTACTAGTAACCCTGATTTCACACAGAATTTGGGTAACTGGTCATATTTTTAAAGGCAGCTAGGAAATGCAAGTGTTATAATGAGCAAGGCTTTTTAAAGTGTGACTCCAATTATGGTAAGAAAAGACCGTCCCCTCCAATTTTAGCAAATGTGTTTGCAGATTCCCTACCCTTTTCTGTTATGAATACATTGTGTTTGTTTCTCTATATCCATTTCAAACTGATTTCTGAATGGGAGGGTATGTCTTCATTATAATCACACTGGTACAATCTCAGGGTTCTGTTAAAAAAAAAAGCTGCAGTGTCTCCATCAGTTTAAAAGAGAACAGTCCTTATAGTGTGCCTCACCAAAAGAGAAACTTCTATTGTAGGGGATGCCAAAGTAATTACACAAACCGTACATGTGATTACTGGAACCATGCTGTACATCAATAGCGTGTGGAACACCTAGAGAATGCATGAAGCAATACTTGAATTTACTGACAAACTGAAATGGAGAGGTTTAGTTTATAGGGGTATTTGTGATTTGCTTCTGTGTTGCAATGGAACATTTTTGAATAATCTGGAACACAGTGCTTACACTTTTAATTAGATGACAAGGAGCAGTTTTTATTTGCATTTACGGACACTTTTGGCATATATCATGTTACTTTTCTTTTAGTGCTCCATCCAAGTCAGGGTGAAAATACAAAATCAACTAAAATACAGGGCACGAAATTTGATGTGAATGAAAAGATGGTGTATCATGTCTTACAGATGCATCTGTGTTTGTTTATTTTCAGAACTCCCGTCCTCAGAACACTTGAGCGTAGCAGATGCAACATGGCTAGCCCTTAACGTGGTCTCAGGAGGCGGAAGCTCGTCTAGCTCTCAACCAATTGGAGTGACCAAAATTGCCAAATCGGTCATTGCACCATTGGCAGACCAGAACATCTCCGTGTTTATGCTGTCCACCTATCAAACAGATTTCATATTGGTAAGTCATTATGCAAGTTTATATAGAATAACACAGTAGATGGGTTCACAAGAAACACAAGTGATGCAGACATCATTAAAAATAACACAATTTCTAACTCAATGCTTACATTTAGAAAGGTCATTGTATAGTGCTTTACATTCAGAATTCAGCATAAATAAGATTTTAGAGAATTCAATTATATTAGTTGTGTAGGTGTTAAGCTCATAGATGTTGCCATAAGGGGCCAGTTAATAATTTGTTGCAGGAAAGAAATTTGCACTGTCTATGGCCTGCCGTAGGGTAAACATGGTTTTGGTCTAAGAGATCTAATCCTTTTGATCTTGTGTGAAAAAAGAAAGTTATATGATAGTTTGTACTCATGTAGGTCATATCATAACACATCCCTTCACTCTACACTCTTACAGGATTAGCTCTGATTTGGAGGAAAAATGTTTGTTGCTCACTATTAAACAGAAAATCCGTTCAGGCCGGGATCTACAACCTTAATAGACCTGAAGAGGAATTGTAAAAATATTAGGAGCTCAGCTAACAATTACCTATATTTCAACTATATTTCCACCATCCATTCAAACAGCACATCAGGGCACTGACCCTTCATTAGGCACTATCCGAAAATAAAGCCATTGCCATTAAATGGTGATCTGTTAGATTTGTGGTGTTATGTGAAAAAAGATGATCATTCTTCTTAAGCTGGTCAGGCTAATCATGGTCTAATCTACCTGGTAATTGGCCTGTACATTGCAATGTTTACTGTCCTGTATGGTCATCTTTCCAGTTTGTTACAATCATGTCTGATTCTAGCATTGTTCTTTTAAAAGTTTGACCTCTTACACTGTAGTTTAGCATTAGACAATGCAGCAGCTACTACTGGCCCTAAACAAGGGCCTTCACAGAAGCAATTACATGCACATACCAAGCTGTTCTGTGATAGCAATTTAACCCTTTGGTGTTGGTGCCTCCCAGCCCTTTAAGGGTTTCCGAAGCCAGGAGGCGGGGCAGGGTTTTAGGGTCATGTGACTGCCGTGATTAGCTGTCACGGTGGTCACATGATCGGGAAAGGTCCCGATCGAAAGAGCAGATCGGGACCTTTCTGTGAGTACCGGACGAGTGCTGGGAGCACGCAGGGCGCACGCTCTCAGCAGATATGTTTTTCTTAATTGCACGCTCAGCGAGGTTAAATGTGCGGCTGGCGCCAAGAGGTTAATCTTCACTGTTTTCTCAGCATGCACTTTTAGGCTCCATGCACACTAGGTGTTTTAATAACGCTGGTAACGTTAGCTGTGTAAAGTCACTTTAAAAGCGCAAGTTTTTTAGCGTTTTTGCAAAAGCGTTTTGCTGTGTTTTTTCGCGTTTGCGTTTCCCGCTTTTTTTTTTGCTACAAAAATAGTCCATAAACACCGGTTTGCTGTGATATACCACATTTTGCTGCGTTTTTCAGTGTTAGAGCGTTTTTATAGCTAAAAACTGCTCTAACTAGTTCTGGGTTTTTTTTCCAGCCAAAAATGCCCCTGCTAGACAACACTGATTACACTCTGTGTGCATGGACACATAGGATAACATGCTGGGGAGTTTACTGACTGTAGAATAAAATGTCAAAAGCCAAAAACAGCAGCTGTAAAAACGTCCAGTGTGCATGAGGACCTAATATTCCAAAAGCTATGTTATACAGGATCCCATTATGGACTGCGAGATAAATCATCTTTTATTAAACCAGTATAGACTGTTTAAAAGGGTTATGTAATTGTTATTATTTATTACTTCACATTGTAAAATTAAGCTCCATACATGCTTATATACAAATTAAAGTGACACTAAGCAATATCCGTATTCTCCAAAAACAATCTTCAGTGGTACTTTGGTTTACGAATGCCTCGGTAAACGTAATTTTCGGTTTACGAATGAAAATCTATTGAAAATAATGCCTTGGTTTACTAATTTTTTTTTACACATTTTTTTAATACAAAGTGTATGTCAGTACTGATTTTTAAATGCAATTGCCGGCTTTTTTTTACTTCATTATAGCTCACAAGATTAGCTGTCACTTTCCCAGAGTTGCAGGAAACTTTGTTTCTTTTAAGAAACTAAATGGAAACATTGTTTCTTTTAACTTGGGAAATAAACTAAAAGAAAACTTTCTCTCTTTTAGCTGGGGGGAAAGTGACAGCTGAATTTCTGAGCTATAGTGAAGGAAAAAAAAAAGCGGTAATTACATTTAAAAACCAGCACCATAATAAATTAAAAAAGGGCGTGGGGTCCCCCCTCTCATCCATACCAAGCCCTTCGGGTCTGGTATGGGTTTTGAGGGGAACTCCCACACCAAAATGTAAATAAAAATGGCGTGGGAGTCCACCCAAAATCCATGCAGGACCCTTATCCGAGCATGCAGCCTGGCAGTTCAGGAAAGGGGGGGGGTCGAGCGAGCACTCCTCAGTAGATCCAATGTCCATCACGATGCCTGCCACCAACCCGAAAAAAAAAAAGTTCCGTTCCCGACGATGGCTGCCAGCCCTCTGCCTATGAGCTGGCTTGACAGTTCTTAAAACAGTTAGGGATACATACTTGAATAAGATTTTTTTTTCTTCTAAAAAGGAGTTTATTTTCACTTTAAACACTTTGATACTAAACACACACTGCTTAATTTACATTATCCCTTCTACTTTTGTATGTGGATAATGGCACTAATTAATTTTAATTAAAAAACATCTAAGAGGTGCCTCTAGTCCTCTGCTACTGATCACATGTTCAAAATTGGAAAAAAAAAACCTTTGGAATACAGAATAAAAATAAATATCAATAAACATTTTTAAAATGGTATACATATACAGTATAATAAAAAATCTTCATTATTTTTGGCAATAATTTCTGCCAGTCACAGGCTGTGTCCCGTCTCTCCAGCCTGTGTCTTAGAATAAGAGGGAGGTGAAGCCTCCATCAATCTACATGTAATTACCCACCCCCATAGTGTTTAGCTAGTCAGTATGCATGGAAAAGGAGGGAGAGAGTGAGCGGTCATTTACCACTGTGTATACGCCCACATGTGTGACTCTATAGTCACATGGGCTGCTTGAATGTGATAGGAAGGAAATGCTCAGCATAGAAATTTACTGAAAACTGAGCATGTGCAGAGTTGCCACTACATCTGCAACATCCCTAGCTGAATTGAAGACATGAACTGAAGGTAGCAATAGAAAGTAGCAGGATCAACAAGGTTTTTTGCAGAATACAGAAAATGAATCCCATAGTAAGCATGTAATACAGCATTTATTAATTAGTTTTGTATGATGTGGGTTTAGTGGCACTTTAAGCAATACAAAAAAATGCAGTAATCACTAATAAATATATTTAGATTTCAGGACATTGCAGTCAGATAACTGAATAAATGTACTTTTTCACTTTGCAAATCATTCTGCTTGATTAAATAGATGTAGGTTATGTAAAAGTGGAAGTTAAAGCAAATTGTCTATCTACAAAAAAATAAAATCTTTTGCTTTGTACCATGAAATCATCGGATGATAGCTTGATTTCTTGTGTTATGTCTTTGCCAGGTACGTGAGCGGGATTTGCCGTTTGTAATGCACACGTTGGCAGCAGAATTTACTATATTGCAGGTGGTGAATGGAGAGACTGTGGCTGCTGATAATCTTGGAGTAACAAATGGATTTGTGAAACCCAAGCTTGGTAAGTGCCATGCGTAGAAAGCAAACAAGGTATACACAATCATTTATTATTTAAAAGGACAAAAAAAACCTCTTTAGTGGCTACTAACCTTAGACAGTTAATTGTGTCTATACAGTGACTGGCAAACAAGCAGTATTCCCAGAATAGACAAACACCAGTTAATTACTCAGATGGCAAAACTGATTGCACATCAAATACATACTTTGGCTTGAAGTGTTAAGTGCCCAGACTAGGCATGCATAGGACCTGGCAGGTACATCTAGACGTCGTGATTTTTGCCAGTCAGGCCTCACACATTAAAAATAATGTGTAACAAAGTGAGCGCTAATCATGAGGAGATAATTAAGCAGCTAGTAGCACTAGAGGTGATCACAACCACCTCTGGTATAAACAATAAAATAAAGTGCAGCGCTAAAAAACAGAATAAAATGACAGAATAAAATGACAAACTAAAAAGTTAGATATAAAATTCGATAAAAAGTTCGATCAATAAATTCAAAATTGTAATTGGTCCGTGAATGTGGTGGACACAACTTAGAGTGATCCAGGAAAATGGCAGAAATGCGCACTCACCGACCGCACATAGGAAATGCGCATGTATATATCAAATCCCACAGCTGTCGTTATCCCCCAGGGAGAGGTGTCATCAATCGATCTGCTGGACTTGTAGAGCCTCCTTAAGATGGAGATAAGTCAGCCGGGCAGCCTTTTCCTGGAGGGGACCTTCTGCCCGGCTGACTTATCTCCATCTTAAGGAGGCTCTACAAGTCCAGCAGATCGATTGATGACACCTCTCCCTGGGGGATAACGACAGCTGTGGGATTTGATATATACATGCGCATTTCCTATGTGCGGTCGGTGAGTGCGCATTTCTGCCATTTTCCTGGATCACTCTAAGTTGTGTCCACCACATTCACAGGCCTCACACATTGTATCATGAGGCAAATTATATAGTTGTTTAACCCTTTAATGCCAGTGTCTCTTGGCCCTTTAAGGGGTTTCTAATGCTGGGAGGCAGGGTGGGGCTTATCATTTGACCGCCAAGATTGGCTGTCCCAGAGGTCACGTGATTGGAAAGCTCACGATCGTAAGTAGCGATCGGGAGCTTTCCGTTGGGCATCGGCAACTTGCTGGGCACACACTCTTGGCACAGGTTTGTTTACATTTTGGTAGGCATATATGCGGCCTCTCGGCGTTGAGGCCCACCCACCGAGAGGCCACATATATGTATACTGTTAGCACAGCACAAGGAGTTAAAAAAAAAAATTTATTAGAATCAGTCATTTGTATAACAGCGTCATCATATGTGGGATAAGAAAAGGCTAAAAATACAGAAGACTGAGAAAGCCGAACAACCGGTACATACTCACAAAAAAATAAACATAACACGCAAAAACTGGATACAAGCGCAACATCTAGAGCCCTGTCTATGCACACGTATAGTCCAAAGATACAAAAATGGAAGTGACATTCTCTGCCTTATCAGATGTGGAGAAGGGAGGAGGAAACAGTCAGTGTCTAGATCAGATTATAAACTTGTTTTATTGGAGAGTTTTAAGGGTCCATCTGAAGCATCAATTGCTATTAAATAACATACAGAATGTGGTTCAGGAAAAGGCAAAACCATCACAAAAAATAGTTTATAAGTGGGAGACACTACAGCCTGCAGCAATAACAATGAGTGTTTTCTTCATTATTTGCAATATTCTTTCCACTAAATGGAGAACAAACTATTGTATTGGAGTAGTACTGGAGATCCACATCTCTGGTGGTTTGAGTGTTTGTAAAGTTGGTCCAGTATTCTAATAATTTCTGCTTCTTCTCTAAGAAGCAGGGGCAGGGAAACCAAAATGATTTTCTGAATATAAATGTTTGCTGCCAAATGGTTAGTCAAGAAAGTTCAAGAAACAAACTTGAGGAGCAATGAGTGGTGATACCCATCAAGAAGGAAGACTGTGGAGCAGGAGCCTATAGTGGTTCTAAAGACAGAAGGATTTTTTTCCTAAATTCTCTGCATTAATGTAAAAAACCTTGTGCAAGCAGTTTCCCCCTCCCCTTATATTTACTTGCCCAATCTCAATCCAGCGATGTGCACGAGACCTGCATCTTTCTCGCGCTCCCTCTCGTGCTCTCCCTCTCGTGCTCGCTCTCTCTCTCTCTCTCCCTCTTGTGCTCTCTCGCGCGCTCTCTCGCTCTCGCGCGCTCTCTCGCTCGCTCTCTCGCTCTCGCGCTCTCTCGCTCTCGCGCCCTCTCTCGCTCTCGCGCCCCTCTCTCGCTCTCTCGCGCCCTCTCTCGCGCTCTCTCTCCCTCGCGCGCTCTCTCTCCCTCGCGCGCTCTCTCTCCCTCGCGCGCTCTCCTCCCTCGCGCGCTCTCTCTCCCTCGCGCGCTCTCTCTCCCCTCGCGCGCTCTCTCTCCCTCGCGCGCGCTCTCTCCTCTCGCGCGCTCTCTCCCTCTCGCGCGCTCTCTCCCTCTCGCGCGCTCTCTCCCTCTCGCGCGCTCTCTCCCCTCTCGCGCGCTCTCCCCCTCGCGCGCTCTCTCCCCGCCGCGCGCCTCCCTCCCGCGCGCTCTCCCTCCCGCGCGCTCTCCCTCTTGCGCGCTCTCCCTCTTGCGCGCTCTCCCTCTTGCGCGCTCTCCCTCTCGCACGCTCGCTCTCTCTCTCGCGCGCTCTCCCTCTCGCGCGCTCTCTCTCTCCCCCCCTTATTGGCTCAAACACAGCAGCAGGAGCTATTGGCTCATACTAATGTCAATCACTGCCATTTAGGAATTGACAGAGGCAAGCTGTGCTCTGTGTCTTATGGACACACAGTGCTGGCTCAGGAGTGAGCATGCAAGAGTGCTTGCTGTGGTGGGCACTCAGCTGGGGGAGGGGCCAGAGCACCAGCGGGGGACCCAAGAAGAGCAGGATCAGGGCTGATCTGTGCAAAACATTTGCACAGTGCAGGGAAGTATGATATGTTTGTAATTTAAAAATAGAATGTATCCTTTAAATCATGTTAAGAACTTGTACATGACAGATTGTTTGGTGACTTTAGTATGATATTTTCAGTGGAGCGATTATTGAACAATGGTGACAGGATTAGGACAGTATCCAGACTGTAGAACGTCTAATGCAAAATTCAAAAAGAAACAGTTTGCTTGTTTTATTAGATGTAAAGGAGTCTGACAGATAATGGTAAATGAGAAACAGGTACACAAATTTTATTTTTTTGACCACGTATTTGAATGAAGAAGGGACAATACCAGTTGAAATGAATGAAATAAACAGAGATAGTAATGCTTGGATGAAACTATGAGATAAGGGATAGAACCAAGAGAACAGCTAGTAAAGTGGGATATAAAATGTTTGTTCGGTCATAGGGATGATACCTGGGATGATACCTTGCAGAGAGGAAACTAGTGTGACAGTAAAATCAGAGCAGAAATGTCAAAGTTAGGGATAGTGCTGTTTCTGCCTTTGTCATTTATTTCTTTCAAAAAATTGTGGAAAGATTTCACCTATATGATATATAGGTGAAAGGAAATGCTCCAGAACAAAGTAAAGGTGTTCAAAGTACTTAAAGTGGTTGTAATCCTTACCACTAACTAGTGAAGAGACTGGCCTTGGGTGATAGACAGAGATGAAACAAATCCTCTATGTAAGTTGTACCTGTTTATCTTAGCAACCTTTCTCCTACATCCATTGAAAGGGTGGAATTTGCACAGAATCTCTCAGCTGTGAAAAGCAGGGGGAGGAGAGTTGAAGTTACATCAGCAAGGGGAGCTCTGAGAGCTGATTGGAGGGAAGGGATACCTTCCCAGTCTACTTTTTTTTTTCTCTTTGTGTCAGGGAAAACTTGTCAGAAGTGACTCATACAAATAGCAGAGGACAAAACAGCAGTCAGAAATGTCACTTAGTGCTCTTAATGGAGACAAATACACACTATAGAGATGTTTGTTCATATTTCATGTCTGAGGTTTGCAACCTCTTTAATAGCTGTTTTGAATTGCTGGTTTATGTGGATATGAGAAAGGAAAAATGACTGCTGGAGGAGTAAGGCAGTGTACCTGGGCTCCTATAGAACGTGTGCTTGTGGGAAATTCCCTTTTATCATAATTTTTTTCCCCAGTCATATGGAAAAACCTTTTCATCTGTTCATAAAAATAATAGGAACCGCTTTTATATTTGTAAAATCCACATCTATAAATTTTTATTTTGGAGCAGGAAAGGATCCCCCTAATGGAAATAAACAGTGATAACAACTTGACAGGGATTCTCATGCCCTCCATGCTCTAACCAGAACTACAAAATAAACATTTTTGGATGGAGATTCATTTTTTTTATAGTTCAAGAGATGCCAATGTAAAAAATGAATCTCTACTGAGATAATATAGAGGCTGTCATGGTTAACATATTTTTATAAAAATGACAGGCTGGCATCTGATCTAGTGGCTTTAACACTTTTTAGACACTAAGAAAGCTAAAACAAGCATGTATATGCTGTATTTTGACTTTATTCAGGCTTTTTATCTTCATGCTTGTTCCTGGACAATGACTAAAGCCAGAGTCAACTAGGGCAGCCTTTTTCGACCAGGGTGTCTTCAGGTTTCTTCAGGGGTGCCTTGGCAAAATGCCTAAAAATTCCCCAAAAACTGTATAATAGCTAGCAGGTGGCTCAAGCCTGCCTTTTAGTTACACATAGTCGCCGGTTTTCATTGTGCACTATTACAACCTTCTAGCCGCCAGCGTCCTGACAACCAATGATGTCATCGGTTGATAAGAAGGATGTCAGGCGTTTGCACGACATCCTTGTTTGCCCCTTTTCTGCCCCTCTCCATCAGCACTGGGGGGTCACATAGGCTGAATGAAGGAGAGAAACTGAGGGAGAAGAGAAACATTGGAATACTAGCCAGTACCAGTGTGCAAAGGTGTGTTTTCTTAGGAAAAAGAAATCGCCTCTAACGTTTAGTGTCCTACATGTGTGGATGTTGCTGCATTATGTAAAACTATTTTAATTTTTTACATTTTAAAAGGGAATGCCTCAAGATTGTGCAAAATTTTAAAGGGTGCCTTGACGGAACAAAGGTTGAGAAACACTGAACTAGGGTACCTAGTATTCTCAAAAGGTGGTGAGCAGTGACGAGCCCCAAATTTTTGTCTTCTAGGTTTCATTTAAACTTTAAATACCTAATTGTGGTGTTATACATAATACCACTTCTACATATTGTAACAGACACAGAGTTACTGGTAACAGTGATGTCAGATCATTTTCTCAGATCTTCAAGAAATTGATCAATTCATACGCACTGATTAGTGTGGTAGGAAGGTGACCATCAATGACGGCAATCCTCAGGTTGAGCATTTTTCATGCATACCCAGTATTTAATGCTTTTTTTTGTGGAGTTGTTTATTTTGTATTGTTTTTTTAATTGACAGGAATTCTGTGATTCTTTTTTTGTAAAGGGACTTGTTTAGTAGGTAACTTTGGTCCCAAGTCTTCAGTAAGGTCCCTGACAGCTGTTTTTTATTCAGTCTGTAAGCTGAACAAAAAAAAAAAACTTCTAATATCTGACTCCTGTGCACTATAATAGCACTCCTGCTGGGCCATTGTATTCTGATGACCATTAACAGCGGCTGTCAGAAGACCAGAACAACAACTGCATCTGCTGTTCAGCTGTCAATATTCTGCTTGGCCCCTTTGCTTTTTCAATCAAAGGATGTCGGACAGGAGAGGGCCAACAGGGCCATCCACAAAACAAATTTTGCAATGTATAGCCAGATTAAATCTGCATTAGGGCCTGTGTCAACAGACTTTGGGTTCGCGTTGATGAACAAATGCAGATTGCTCTCTGGCACATTCAGTTTGAAATTAAAGTCAGATTGAGATGATGCTGAGATCATTTGCAATTTGACAGATGCATCTGACCTCCTCCTAAGCTGCCCCAACCTGCTTCAAGCTATTTTTGCATTCCCATTGACTTGTATGAAGATAGAATAATTTCTAATACAAACAAAAGCCTGTTGATGCCAGCCCTTAGATAGACTTTTCAGAAGCTTAATATATTTTTTTTCTACTTCCAGTTCAGAGGCCTGTTATTCATCCACTTTCAAGTCCCAGCAATATGTTCTGCGTTACCAGCCTGGATCCATATACACTTCCAACTGTGACTACACTCCTAATGGATGTTATGTTTTACTCCAATGGGTAGGTACCAGGATCAAGCACACAGTTGACAGACACTTTCTGTGTTCTGTTATTTTTTTCTGCTAATGTGTTTGATCTAAATGAAGAAGTTGTGGTCAGTTTTTTTTTTTTTTATTGTGTTAGTGCTACATCAGTAAGGTGTGTCCACAAAGTTAATGTGCACAAATATGAGACAATAGCTTGACTTCCATTTCTATGAATGCTGCTTTATGAACATAGTAGAAATATTATTTTGAATGATTACTTTCACCAATTTTATAGTGTATTGTTGTCTTTGCTGTCAAATTTGAAAATCCCCCACTGCTGGTTTGTGTTCTCATTCAAATAGCACATCTAAAAATAATTAAATTCTTACCTTTCTAGTATTTTTTTTTTTTGGGCGGGGGGGGCAGATTTATACATAGGATTCTATAGGTAGTTTGTATTTACAATATTTACAATAGCTTGTAATGTGCAGTTAGAATGGTAACATGTAACATAGAAACAGTAGGTGTTATCCCAAGGCTGTGTAGGTTCCCCAGACCCTTCAAAACAGCTGGGAACATGTAACATAGAAACAGTAGGTGTTATCCCAAGGCTGTGTAGGTTCCCCAGACCCTTCAAAACGGCTGTGGTGGAAATGCATGCAGGGTCTTGTAATGTTGTAAGAATAACCCCAACAGACCTTTCCTGCAACTGACTTACAAAATAGATGACTTCTTTATTAGGTTATGTGGGAAAAAGCCACACATGTACTGTAATCTCTGGCCTGCCTACTCAGTGAGGAGAATAGAAGAGCTATTTGAGCTGTGGTAGGACAAGGTCATCCACTGCAATGAGGTCTGTAGTGGGCACTATTTATCTGATAGGCAGTTAAGCCCCATCGTCGTTAAACTATTGTTATGCAATATTTTCCAGGTTGTAATTTTTGCAAAAAGCTTCTCTAAAACCGTTTTCAATTTGAATGCATAAGACCTGATGTGTCAGGGTGTACACCAGCATTTTCCTTCTGTGTATATGCATGTTATTATTTGTATTTTATTATTTTCAACCATGAAGGAGCAGACTGAGTTAAAGTGGTTTTATGTTGTAGAGTAAAAGATTCGGTGGTGGGCAGTGAAGAATCTGGTCATATCCGCTTCTTCTCTTTTTCCCTCATTGAGGGCTACATTTCCTTGGTGATGGATGTACAGACACAGCAGAGGTAAGGCTTGTTGAAGAGTTTTTGTAGGCATCGACTTATCTGTTCCTTTTTTCACAGGATCTAAAATTAGGCTGTTTCGGTGTTGGTAAGATTATTATGAATGTTGATTATTCATTACTGTAGCAATATTTTTTTCAATTGAAGATCTTAAAGAACCACCACTACTAAATCTTAAAGCTAAACTCCAGACAAAGTTAAATGCACAGATAAAATGTATATATAAGATCTGCCTTGCCTGCCAAAGGATGTGTATTTATATTCATCCAGTCCATAAGATTACACAGCTCTGCCTCCCTAGTACAGCCCTGTCTGGCAGAGGAGGGAACCTGATCTTTCTCTTTTGCAGTTTCACTTACAGGCCCCTTCCTCATTCTTTTACTGGACAGTGAAAGGGAAAGCAGCACACTTAGTGGCTCATCTTTAAATGGGTGTGTCATTATTTGCCAAGTGTAACATAAGCATGCTTTCTTAATAGGGCAATAAGTAAAGTACACTAACCAACAGCATTCAAAGCACAGGTCCTCCTGATCCACTACAGCTAGCTAAATTCTGATTGGATACTACAAGTTACATCAGTTTGTACAATATGATTGTCATTTGCTCTTCAGTAACAATAATACAGTGAAGGAAATAAGTGTTTGATCCCCTGCTGATTTTGAATGTTTGCACACTCACAAAGAAATGATCAGTCTAAAAATCGAAAGATAGGTGTATTGTAACACTGAGAGACAGAATAGCAACAAAAAAAAATAAAAATAAATGCATGTCTAACAAATTATGCACTGATTTGCGTGTTCATGAGGGAAATAAGTATTTGATCCCCTATCATTCAGCAGGATTTCTGGCTACCAGGTGTCTTTCATACAAGTAACAAGCTGAGATTAGTAGCAGTCTCTTAAAGGGAGTGCTGCTAATCTATTTTTTTACCTGTATAAAAGTCACCTGTCCACAGGAGCACTCAAACTGATTCCATACACTCCATCATGGCAAAGACCAAAGAGCTGTCCAAGGATGTCAGGGACAAGATTGTAGACCTACACAAGGCAGGACTGGGCTACCAAACTATCGCCAAGCAGCTTGGTGAGAAGGTGACAACAGTTGGTGCAATCATTCTCAAATCAATTAACACAAAACAACTGTCAGGCTCCCTAGGTCTGGTGCACCATGCAAGTTCTCACTTGTGGAGTGTCAATGATCATGAGAACAGTGAGAAATCATCCCAGAACTACACGTGAGGATCTTGTCAATGATCTCCAGGCTGCTGGGACCACAGTCACCAAAAAAAACAATTGGTAACACACTACGCCGACAATGATTGAAATCTTGCAGTGCCCGCAAGGTCCCTCTACTCAAGAAAGCACATGTCTAGGACCGTCTAACGTTTGCCACTGAACATCCGAATGAGTCAGAGGAGGACTGGTTGAAAGTGTTGTGGTCAGATGAGACCAAAATCGAGCTCTTTGTTTGGAGGAGGAGGAATGCTGCTTATGACCCCAAGAACACCATCCCAACTGTCAAACATGGTGGTGGAAACATCCTGCTTTGGGGGTGTTTTTCTGCTAAGGGGACAGGACAACTGCACTGCATGAAAGGGACAATGGACAGGGCAATGTACTGTCAAATCTTGGGTGAGAACCTTCTTCCCTCAGCCAGGGCATTGAAAATGGGTCATGGATGGGTGTTCCAGCATGACAATTACCCAAAACACATGGCCAAGGCAACAAAGGAGTGGCTCAAGGAGAAGCACATTAAGGTCCTGGAGTGGCCTAGCCAGTCTCCAGTCCTTAATCCAATTGAAAATCTGTGGCGGAAGCTGAAAGTTCGAGTTGCCAAACATCAGCCACCAAACCTTAAAGACTTGGAGAGGGTCTGCCAAGAGGAGTGGGCCAAAATCCCTCCTGAGATGTGTGCAAACCTAGTAGCCAACTACAGGAAACATACGACCACTGTGATTGCCAAGAAGGGATTTGCCGCCAAGTACCAAGTTATGTTTTGTGAAGGGGATCAGACACTTATTTCCCTCATGAACATGCAAATCAGTGCATAATTTGTTAGACATGCATCTCATTCAAATCTTTTGTTGCTATGCTGTATCTCAGTGTTACAATACACCTACCATTCGATTTTTAGGCTGATCATTGCTGTATGAGTGGGCAAACAATCAAAATCAGCAGGGGTTCAAATACTCATTTTCTTCACTGTATATAATAATACTTCCAACTGTTTGGTAATGTATTAAATTGGCTTTAATATTAACTGATGGATTATTTTGTTGTAAATAAAAGTATATCTTTTATGACCCAGTGCTTGCCATCCTTATGCTTAGGTTTCCTAATAATTTGCTGTTTACAAGTGCGTCGGGCGAGCTTTGGAAGATGGTTCGTATTGGCGGACAACCTCTTGGTTTTGGTATGTATTGTAAAAAGAATTCCTGTCTTTAGTTTATGCATGTCAGAAAATATTCCATTTTTAAAGGTTTGCATATATTTAGACCCTTTTTCTGTCTTACTGCTCTTTCAGCTACTGTTGCTATTGCTGAAACAGATCTGTGCCAAACCACCTGCAGAACGCCTATAAATGCCAACATGGCTAACTGCAACAGACATAATATTATTAGACCAACACCTGTTCTAAGTAAAATGGCAGCGGTTCTGAATTTAGATAGCATTTCATGCATACTCTGATTATAGACTTCATAAAGAGAGATTTGCTTTGAAAGCTGTTTTACCTAAATAGTTAGACCACTGAGAACTCTTAACAAAAAAAGGAAGAATGTTGCCCTCTTGTTTAAAAGGGTACTGTGGGTGTTAAATAATCACCTCAAGCAAACATGGGTATTTCCTATTTGTTTCCTGGAAATTGCACACTAGGAGTTGAAAAATATGTTAGAAAACGCTGGCTAAAAAACTCTAAATATTAGCACTTTTAGCTGGCTTTTTTCCATTTTTGTGCCGCTGTTTTGCTGGTGTTTAACAGTGTATAGAGAGTTGTTGAGGAACGGTCTGCCGCCCCTGTCATTAAAGAGCGTTGACTCTTCCCCGCTGATAACTGAATGTAAACAAAGAATGTCAGCATTAAAAAAAAAAAAAAAAACTGAGTGGTGCCCCCCACCCCCCCCCCCCCCCCAGGGTGGATTTTGAGGTGAAAGTTTAAAAAAAAAAAAAAACTTTCTCCCCAATAGCCAGACCAGACCCTTATCCGAGCATGCAGCCCATCAGGAAAGAGAGGGTAACAGACACGAGCGAGCGGGTGTAGAGCTTTGCTTTCTTCTTTTTTTTTTTTTTTTTTTGTGCAGTAAGATATTCTGCAAGGTGTTTATTGGTTTGCCACACCTTTACTAAATTCCAATCTTAAGTATAATTGCTGTATATGTTTAAAAAAAACTGCATTGTAGACAATTTAAAAGGTAAAGCAAAGAGTACTCAAATTTATAAATCACAGCAGCTGAAAGCAAAAACAATATTTTATTTTACTGAAGGCAAATTAGTCAGAAATTCTGAATTGTATGCCTTATTGATTAAGGGCAATTGTTTTACTGAGGAACTGACATAGTCAGAGTTACTTCTGCTCCCACAAAAACTGAGTGGAACCCAAGGAGGTTCCTGGAATTGTCCTCACACAAGAATAGCATATACAGTGGGCATATAAATAATCACGTTTTGTTGCTTTGCAGCTTGAAATGAAGACAGACACAGTTTTTGTTTTATCCAGCTGTATTTACTCAGTGCAACTTATAACCAAGGGAAAGATATAACACCAGCATATCAGAAAAAATTTAAAAAAAAATCAAAAACAGAATCACTGGGTTAGAAAAGGGATCACCCCCTCCTAAAAATTATTATTTGGTACAACGCAGACCCTCCCTGGTCAGGATACAAGAGCCAGGAGGAAAACCGGTCAGAGAGGGTATCAAGAGGCCTACAGCAACTCTGAAACAGTTGCAGGAGTTGGACAAAGAGTGGTCTTTATGTGCTTTTGACAACAATATCACAAATTCTCCACAAATGTGGCTTTTATGGGAGGGTTGCAAGAAAAAGCCACTCCTCAAGAAAGGCCACATGCAGCCATGACCGAGCTTTGCCTAAACGCACCTTGAAGATTCTGAGGCCACATGGAAAAAGGTGTTCTGGTCAGATGAGACTAAAAATTTAATTATTTGGCCTCAACACATCTGGTGGGATCCAATCCAGCTCACCATCCAAATAACACCATTCCTACAGTAAAGCATGGAGGTGGTAATACCCTGTTATGGGGGTGTTTTCTATGCAGCAGGGACCAGAGCACTTGTCAGGATAGAAGAAAAAATGCATGGGGCAAATTCTTGATTAACATTTCTCTGCCCTCTGCCACACAGTTGTCAATGGGAAGAATGTTTACCTTCCATCATGACAATGACCCAAAGCACACAGCAAAAATTAGCACACAGTGGTGGAAGGAGAAAAGATGATTGTCCTTGCATGGCCTAGTCAGAGCCCAGACTGAACCCCCACTTGTGCAGTCCACAAATAGTCAACATCAAATTTAACTGAACTTGAGTAGTTCTGCAAAGAAGAGTGGGCAAATATTGCAAAGTTAGCAGATACATATACCCTCCAGACTAAAGGCTGTAATTAAAGTGTTTAGGAGATTTCATGGCTTTAAACCTGAAATAAGCAACCTTGCAAACGAGAGCTCCAAATCATATATTTATTAGTGAGAATACAGCTGTATGAGAGCACCCATGCCCTGCCCATCAGATGCTCTGATTAAATTGATTACAATTCACATTTTATAGGGTTTCTTTAGCACAGGCCACACCCTTCATTGCTTATCAGTTTCCAACACTCTTGATGTATAGTGGACCAGTCTACAACACTTAATGAGTATAGTGGACACATTATGTAAATGTCCCACTACACATTACTCAAATGTCACGTAGCTGAATACACAAACAACTAAATGCAATTTTATATATATATATATATTAAAATATAATTGAATATATCTATATACGCCTAATAATAATAGCCATTACTAATGCAATGGACCTTACTCTAAGATACTCATGTATATATTAACTTAATTGAACTCTTTTATTACTATTATTTCATTAAAATGTATTATTAAGATGTAGGATATAGCAAGGATCACTTTTATCCCTATACAAAAGCAAAAGGTGGTTCAACAAAATACTGACACAAGGTGGGGTGATCCTTTTTTTTAACAATGTGATTCTGTTTTTTTTTCATTTTTTTTTTTTCTGACATGTTGGTGTTTTATCTTTCACTTAGATGTTATAAGTTTCACTGAGTAAATACAGCTGGATTAAAATGGAGCAGCTTCATTTCAGGCTGCAAAGCAACAAAAATGTGATTATTTTATAAGGGGAGGGGGGTGATTCTTTTATATACCCACTGTAGATGAGTTGACGTCAGATTAGAAATGTTAGGCACTGAATCACCGCTTTGCACCCATTATGTAGTCACTTGGTTCAAGGCTTCACCCGTCAAGTGTACTTACAGCAAATATTCTAGTTTTTAGATAAATTGTAAACTGAAAAGGTGATATAGTCATGTGTCTGTTTCCAATGCTTGCCTCACCTAAATTCTACACATTAACCACAAAAGTCTACAACTTCTCTTGTTCACTCCTGAATTGTCTCTAGCAATGTCTTCCTCTTCTGTAGCTATACACCAGAGCACTAACTCATGTTTTCTATCAGATGGGTCTCTTTTTCTCCACCCTCCCCTGTTTTTTTTAGGGCGAGTGTGCAGTACTTCAAAACTAGAGTAATAGAAGTTTATACATTTTATTCCCCTCAAAAATATAAGGAAAGGTGACTCTATATTGAATTGAACATCAGGTTTATAACTATAGCCTTACTTTGAAAATTCAATTTTAAATTCCCCACTTTCCAGTTTCTGCATTGATTTGATATGTACATTTTTGTTTTCAGATGAATGTGGGATTGTTGCCCAGATCTCAGAACCTTTAGCTGCTGCTGACATACCTGCCTATTATATCAGTACCTTTAAGTTTGACCATGCACTGGTGAGTTTTTTTTTTAAACTTATGATGATGGTATATTGTAACAGTTCTCTATGTACCTTTTATAAAATGTACTTGGTTCTTGGTGAGTGAAACTTTTGTTTGCCCACTAAAAGTGGCCCTTCTCTAATTAAAGAAGGAACACTGAGTTGGTCTAGTGTGAGAGTAGGGACTATCCATCTCTGAGTTCTGTGACCTACAATTTTCCAAAATGCAGATGTGAGTCATAATTATGCTCTAGCCTCTTCCCCATCCTCCCAAAAAGCTTGGCTATAAGCCTTTTTTAAGTTTCCCTGAATTTATTTTACTGCTTTTTTAAGATATCTCAGAGCATTTGTGAATTTTTTAAATCCAGTCAGTGTCTGGACTTCAAGAAACTTTACTAAACATGTAGTAATGAGGGTAAAACATTAAAATCTTAATGCTGTATATTAGAGATAAGTGAACTGGTTAGCATACTGTGCATGATTATTTTGGGTAAAGCAGCTGTTTGTCTCTTTGCTCAGACCAAATAGTGTGTAACGCCCCCTTCTCAGCCATTTGTGTAGAATCCAGTGAGCATGGAGCCTTATATAAAAGTAGAGCAATTTATTATTAAAGGAGTAATGCCATAGAGGGCATGGATTCTCACTCTATAACCTCCTACAGTGATGCAAGTAGGATCCCCATTAAATCCCACTTTAATCAGGTCAGTAAGGGCAAGGTAGTTGTACTGAAGTGGCCAGCAATGTGGACTGCAAGCTTCTTGAGGGGGGGGGGGGGATTGGCATACCCTGAATAGACCCCAAAATGAAATAATGAGGGATATATTTAGTAGTTAACATTTGCTTGACTCACGTCATTGGAGTAGATTTCCTGTTATTCATCTATCAGTACAGTATGTAGCACTGTGGGCTTTTCCCTCCAACAGTTACCTGTTACACTGATATTGCATCCTGAAAGCCAAAGAAGCTTTTCAAACAGGCACTTGGTTTCTTGACCAAACCATTTTCGTGTGCTTTTTACCCAAATATAGTCTGTAATTCAGAATTTAAGGTGTAGGAGTTATCATGCCTAATATTTTGTTAAGTAATAAGCTTTTCAGTCCTTATTTGTATACAAAATGCCTGCAGTATTTTTATAGCGGTTTTTATACACTTCAATTTGATTTTGATGTTGTGGCTAACTTTTAGCCTACTTCATCGTAAAAAATGCAGTTGTGTGGTTTAGCCACAAACCTCAACAACTGTTTGCTTCCTGTCATTCAGAAACTTCTGTTTCATAAGGTCAGTTCAAAAGAATAAAACAGAAGTTCCAGTGCTTGCATCTGGAATTATGGAATGCTGATGTTGGGTTTCTGACGTGTTAAAGCCTCAAAAGAAAAGTCTGACACTTTCAGAAAGCAAAAACTTGCTAAAGTGCAACCCCTCAGAAGTACCTGCACAAATCTACAGAAGTTTTTTTTTCTGATACTTAATCAGGTTTTTATTGATGTATTTTTAAAAATGCTCACAATACAGACTAGAATGAAGAATAAACTATGCACATCCTTTCATTCTACCACTGCATTTGTGTTACAAAAGGGCATGTCGGCAATAAAAAAAATGCATTCTCCTATGTGGTCCAGAGTAAACATAATATCACCTAGTGTCAAGTGATGTGAAATGTTAGGGTGAAGTGACAAGGTTGAGCTAGGGGTGTCATAAAGAGGAGTGAGGAAAAGAGAAGAATTACAGAGAACCCTGCAAGGGTACAGAAAGAAACTTTTAAAAGAGGTGAGGTAGGGGGATGTTGGGGAGGAAGAAGGGAAAAGGAACCTCCACTCAGGGCACTATCTACTTCAAGACTCTGCTGATCTGTAGATTGACTAATTGTTACTATCCGAGATATGTCTGAAGGTGCATAGAGTGTAACTAATTAATCCAGACACTCCAAACCATCACCTTTTTGGTAGGTGTCTTGGAGGAGAGCAGTGAGCTCCTTCAACATCATAAGGTGAGCTAGGGGGTGTCATAAAGAGGTTGAGTTGTACAGTCCACTTGGCAAGTGGTGCGGGAGTTGGGATCTTCCAGTATCTTGGAATAAGGAATTTCCCTGCCTGTAAGAAAAATCTTAAAATGCTCTGACATGCAGTCACAATGGAAGAGAGCCTGGTATGATGAATAGAAGGGCAGTCTACAGGGTCAAAGAGAAGAGTGAGTCCATGACTTGTTGATAGATCTGAGCACTACTAGTTGAGTATGTTAGCATAATGGTTTTATCATAGCTGGCCTCAAAATGAGTCTGTTACGATGCTAACCTAATGTCTCCTTTCTTACCCTTATTGCCAATCCTAAACACCCCCCTTTTTTCCCTAGGACTAGAACAGACAGGGCCACTTGCATGGTGGACAACTCAGTTTTACACACTTCCATCACTTTCTATCCCCTTGTTTTTACCCCTCTTGGCCTGCCCTACGGGAACATCATAAAGCACCTAACTCAGAAAATTATCAATACCTACAGCTCCAACATTGGATATTGACCCTACATCAAACCTCAGACTTCCCTTTTCAGAAAGTTTCAAACACACCTGTTTACGCTGTCGGGGTCACTCAGAATCATCTCTACCATATATACTGTATGCCACATTGAATTTTCGTGGCTCCCAGTAAACCATCTCCTATGTGGGTCACTGGGAATGCGATCTTGTGACTTCTATAAACCTAGAATACTGGAGCAAAGCCTGGTTGAAAATAGTAAAATGTTCCTGTAATACAGTTACCATGGAATTGGCACATAAAGTTCTATTCAGAAGGTATTGAGTCCTTGCCTGTATAGCCCAAGCAATCTCAAAATCACAGTGATAGATGTTTTAGGGGTTACAGGCAAGGAGGCGATGTCGTACATATCAGGTGATTATTCCCAAGAATGACATTTGGCATTTTGGTCCAGAATCTTTGCACAGCTTTAAACTCTGTTTCACCTAATAACCCCATAGGATTTCAAGTTGGCCTTGCTCCATTGCCCTATCGTGGGCCTTTTTTCACACCAACAAAGGTGACTTTTCTCTGTTTCCAGGGGTAGATGTTGAGTAACTCTGACTTATAAATGTTGACTTTTTAAATTGTTGAGGTATCCAAACTGTTCCAGTTCCCTAAGTAAGGAAGAAAAGGTCACCCTGGCCTTGCTAATAAAAGCAGGAGGTCGTCTGTGTAAAATCCCAATTTTTGATGGAAGTTTTCTGTGGTCAAAACCCTGTATGGAAGTTTTGTTACAAAATCCTTGAGCGATATGCTCCATTCCCAGTATATATAGATAAGGGGAGAAAAGGCAGCCCTGGCTTGTCCCCTTGTGAATTAGGGTTAGAGAATAGTGCCATCCACATTGACCGTGCTGTGAGAAAAGTACAGCACCATTATTTTGTTTACAAAATCAGAAAGAAGGCCAGTTTGTTGTAGAGTTGATTGTACAAACTGCCAAATAAATCGATTAAATAACTTCTCTGATCAAGTGAGAGAAGGTATAGAGGATGTTTAGTTGTGTGGTCAGTAGGGGTAATAGCTCTAATCTCATTGTCTCTGGCTTCTCAGAACTGCACAAATCCCACTTGCTTGGGAACAATAAGAAAGGGTATGTGTGCTTCATTTTTGTTTGCTAAGGACCTTGGTATAATTTTTTATTTCTGTTAAAGCTGAACTCCAGGAAGTTGAATTTTCTCGAACTCAGTGGGTCTGTGCCCACTCTGCAAGGGATAATTCCTCATATCTAGGGGGCATGGAAAAATAGATTTATTTGCCCCTGTAGCACCTTGTCCCCCATACTCCTATGGCCTAAGGTCCTCATGTCAAAGCATGGGGGAGCACCATCTGTTGAGAGAGCAAAGGATTAGGTAAATAAAAGTGCTTTTTGCAGCCCCTACACAGAAACAAGCAGTCAACCCTTACAGTACAGGCAAAGCCCCACTGCAAGGGAACATGTTCAGGTTTCCCAAAGTTGGACTTTTAATGAGCAATAATTAGATAACCTGGACCTTGGAACAGGTCTTTATTATCCTCAGAGATAAGGATCATCTTGGGAATATATAGGAAATATGCAGGTTTGTGAGATGGAGTTACCAGCAGAGTTAAGTATGGGAGCCAGGTGGCCTGTAAATGTTGTTTGTTTTTGTTTTTTTAACTTTGTCCCAGTGAACGTATGTTCTGTGCTCTTTACACTTTGCTGTTTGGTATGCTTGCGTACACCACACTGATCATTGACCAGAAAAAGCAAAGGAGAGCGTTGCCCAAGGAGATCAGAAAGAAAATTATAGACTAGCATGTCAAAGGTAAAAGCTTTAGGACTGCCTCTAAGCAGTTGATGTTTCAGTTGCAAAAATTAAGAAGTTTAAGGCTCATGGGAATGTAGCCTCCCTGGACGTGTCCACAAGAGTAAATTCAACCCCAGATTGAACAAGAGGATAGTGCGAATGGTAGACAAAGAGCCAAGGATCATTTGGTGTGAATGGATCTAGCTAAGGAGTCTACCACATTTGTTTCTTTGAGCATAGAGTGCCTAAAGAGCGCAGTCCCTTTTGCAAGCATAAGATTGTTTAAGTAATTTATGCAGTTTCTTGAATAAGAATTTGCTGCAGGAGTGCATCATGGTAACCCTATTGGCATTTTCCAGGTTGGGAATAACTGAGATCAGTTTAGCCTTTTCTTTAAGATGGGAACCCTAGGTTATTACGGTGCCACAAAGGGCACAATTTAGGTCTTTCCATTTAATAGAGGGAGCAGGGACAGTAGTGTTCTCTGCTTGATCTTGTATAAAATGATCAATTGCAGATTTAATGACTAACTGGATAAGGAGATCATTAGGAGAGTTTCATCAAGTCTTTACAAAGAGAGGTTTTAGAGGTATGGGTGAATAAAAATTTAAGTAAATTATTAAATAATCTGACTATATTGTTAGCTAATTTGAGCTTGCGGTTGCCAACTAAGAAGGCAGTAAGATGTGAAAAAGTGGTCTATCCTATTCCTGCTACAAGTTTCTTTGCCCTTTGCTTTGTCTGAATTCTGTGCCTTTCTGACAGGCAAAGCTTCAGTGACAAAGTTTACCTGCCGCCTTCTTATTCCTTTTGGTCATGAGGCTGTG